CAGTGGGTTTGGTTTTGGGTGAATCAGAGCAAATCCAAATTTGTGACCCACCTCTCACAAACATACATCTGTATGGAATACACTTGTTCTTTTTTTTTTTTTATTGTACTTTAGGTGAAGGTTTACAGAACAAATAGTTTCTCATTAAACAGTCAGTACACATATTGTTTTATGACATTGGTTAACAACCCCACGACATGTCAACACTTTCTCTTCTTGACCTTGAGTTCCCTATTACCAGCGTTCCTGTCCCCTCCTGCCTTCTAGTCTTTATTCCTGGGCTGTTGTGCCCCTTTAGTCTTGTTTCGTTGTATGGGCCTGTCTAATCTTCGGCTGAAGGGTGAACCTCGGGAGTGACTTCATTACTGAGCTAAAAGGGTGTCCAGGGGCCATACTCTTGTGGTTTCTCCAGTCTCTGTCAAACCAGTAAGTCTGGTCTTTTTTTGTGAGTTAGAATTTTGTTCTACATTTTTCTCCAGCTCTCTCCAGGACCCTCTGTTGTGATCCCGGTCAGAGCAGTCCGTGTGGTTGCCGGGCACCATCTAGCTGTACTGGACTCAGTCTGGTGGAGGCCTTGGTAGCTGTGGTCCATTAGTCCTTTGGACTCATCTTTCCCTTATATCCTGTTCTCTTCATTCTCCCTTGCTCCCGAAGGGGTGAGACCAGTGGAGTATCTTAGATGGCTGCTCACAGTTTAAGACTCCAGATGCTACTCACCAAGGTAGAATATAAAACATATTCTTTATAAACTGTGTTATGCCAATTGAGCTAACCGTTCCCCGAGACCATGGTCCCCACAGCCCTCAGCCCAGCAACTGGGTCCCTCAGGGAGTTTGGATGCGTCTGTGAAGGCAGCTATTTTTAAAACTCAAATACAAGTGTCACAAAGAGAGCACAACTGACCTGCTTTAGATGGATGCTCCCCTCTGGTGGACACAGAGGTGCTGCATATATGGGTGATGTGGCTGCAAAAGAAATCAATGCCCTAACACTACTTAGCACCCACTTCTTTCGAATGCAGTATTTACTGTATAATTACACCTTCCGATGCTAGATATTCACTGATAATGGAATAACAAACAGAAATAGGCACTGTCATAAATTTCTGGTAGTCACTATAGCAACACACCATGATAAATTCTATTTTGTCCTGCGATTACAAATTACTTTTACTAACATAAAAATCTTAACGTGTACTATTTTAAATACATGTGCAACATTTAAAAATACATACGTACCTACTGTTATTGTTGTTAGGTGCCGTCAAGTAGATTTGAACTCACAGCAACGCCATGTGACGGAGTAGAAGTGCCCCAAAGGGTTTTCTAGGCTGCAATATTTATGGGAGCAATTTGCCAGGTCTTTCTGCCACAGAGTCTCTGGGTGGGTTCGAACCACCAACTTTTCGGGTAGCAGCCGAGCGCTTAACTGTTGTGCCACCAGGGCTCCTTCATACGTACATATGTGTGTGTGTGTGTATATATAATTTTAAATATAAATTATCTATACATTTTTCCCCTAAATTAGAGGATTACTATATATCGAAGTACCTTCTATTAGATACCGCAAGATCATCTTTCAAAGGAAAACAATACAGGCATTTTTTTAATTGCCATCAGTTAAGACCATGGTTCATAACTTCCTGAAGGTTGCTCTTTACTTTACTTTTAGTTGAAATACCACGGGTGGTTGTTCCAAACTTTATGTTTTAAGAATACAAAAACCCATTATGCTATCTCAATACATAAAATTAACATTACCCCAGAGGCTACATTTTAGAAATCTCAACCTTTCTGTTCAATTATTCCTCAGTGTAAATGATCTTTAAAAACAGAAAAGAAACAAAGATGATGAGGGGAAAAAGCCACATTTACATCTGAAGCTTAAAAAAAAAAAAGATGCAGCAGGATGAGACAGAAAACACTTTGGGGGCAGAAACCCGTTGCCGTCGACTACATGACTTTCCAAGGTCACATTGCAAGACGTAGACTGTGGCTCTAGGGGTTTTGATTCTGGAATGCGTCTGAAAGAACCCCCCGTCCGCCACCAACACACCTCACTGGTTCCAGGAGTCCTCATTCCTACAGGTGCTGGAACACCAGGTGCCCATCTGGGAAATCCCAAAGGGGATGTATAACCAGGAGATGCCCAGCTGTCCTCAGGTTAACCAACGCGCCCCGCAGCTATTAGTTTCCAGGGAAACAAGCTGTCTCCTGGGGCCGTCCTGCTTCTGCAGGATGTGCAGATACATCAATTCCTCCACTGACCAAATATTGACACAACACTTATAAGGTGTCATTCACTGTTCAAGGCACAAAAATGCAACCATGGTGAAGATACACCCACTCCTTTGCCCTGCTGGGGCTGAAAGTATCTAGTGGTGAAGGTGGAAATGTATCAGCCAATTCCTATAGGAGGTGGTAAGTGCCGAGATGAGCAGTCCAGGGTGCCAAAACAGCAACGGTGAGGGAGGGCACTGACCCAGACCAGGGGGCTCTGAGAAGGCTTCCTAGAGGGGGTGGTGTCTGAGTGGAAACAGGAAAAACAGGAAGACATTGGTCAAGTAAAATAGCAGGAAGGGGTGAAGGGAAAGAAGGAATCACATGTGCAACGGCTCAGAGGCTAGAGAGAGTGTGCTGAGTTGGAGGGACTGAGGAAGTCTAGTAAGGCTGAACGGTGAAAGCTTAGGACCCTACCAGTCCTATAGAGTCAGGACTTTATCCTGAGACCGAAAGGGGCCAATAAGGGTTGAAGCAGAGGACTGTGGTAGAAAGAGGAAGAAGACTCTTGTCATAACCCAGGTGGACAGATGACAGTGACATGGTCTTAACCAGGTAGTGACGGAGGAAAGCACAACAGCAGATATAAGAGATGTTTATAATGTTGACTCTAAAGACCCGATAACTGACGGGATGTGGGTGATGAGGGACAGGGAGGGGCCGAGGTATAATTCCAATGAAACGCTGCCGTCATTGTTGCTGTTAGCTGCCCTTCAGTCGGCCCCAACTCATGGCAACCTCACCCACAACAGAACAAAATGCTGCCCAGTCCTGAGCCATCCCCATGATCGGCTGGGAACTGGACCACTGGGATCCATAGGGTTTTCACTGGCTGATTTTTGGAAGTAGACCGCCAGGCCTTTCTACCTAGTCCATCTTAGTCTGGAAGCTCTGCTGAAACCTGCTCCCCATCATAGCAACACACAAGCCTCCGCGGACAGATGGGTGGTGGCTGCGCATGAAGTGCATTGGCTGGGCATCGAACTCAGGTCTCCTGCGTGGAAAGTGGGACTTCTACCAGGGAACCAAAGGGCCAGCAGACTCTTCAGCTCAGAGTGTCAGCAGGGAAGCTTGGTGCTGGGCGCTAGGATCTGTGTAAGGACCAACACCAAGAAGGAGAAGCCAAAAGGAAGGATTTCATTGGGCTCAAACATGTTAATGTAAATGGGGGAAAAAACCAAAACACCAAACCCATTGCCATCGAGTCGATTCCCTCTCATAGCGGCCCTATAGGACAGAGGAGAACTGCCCCCATAGGGTTTCTAAGGGGCCGCTGGTGGATTCGAACCGCCGACCTTTTGGTTAGCAGCCATAGCTCTGAAAGAACATAAAAGTGAAGACATTTTCACAGCGTTTGAAGCCACACTGAAAGAGAATACCAATCATCCAATATCTAAGCTGGTCAACTCTTCCCGTTTTTTAGATAACACAGCCATTTCATTTACCCAGCTAACCTCCAGCCTGAGCTACTCATGAGCTCATTCCTAAGCCCAAGGCGGAACTCCCCATGGGGTGAGGCCAGAGGGTCAAAGAAAACGTGTGGCATATGAAGAAAGTCACAGCTGGAGGAAGTAGATGTATTTTTTACTAAATTCACATAAAATGGTTTATTAGAATACGTCATCTGCTTGGTTGTAGGACATGTCTGACTCCACGACCCCAATACTTTCATAACTGTAGTTTAAATCACTTGAGGTCGCCTCACTTTTGCTCTTCCTCCTTTTCAGCGGCTCTCCCTGCAGGTCAGGTGGTTCAAACACTGCAGAGCTCACAGTATGAAGTCCTTTGGCAAATGGGACCTCAGCCCCATCCAGTTCCACTAAGTCCAAACCACGGTCTGGGGGCAGAAGTCGGTCACTCTGTAGTCTTTTTCTGACTTCTTCTTTGGTCTGAAAAGCAGTATAAAAGAATGAAGGACACAGCCTGCAGAACTTCGTACAAGTTCTCACTAATATTCCTGGCAATTAACACTTACGGCTTCTCTCTTTTATCATTCAGTCATTTAACAAACGTTGCGGAGTTACTGGGAACAAGAGAGACACAGCGTGTACCCTCATGGAGCGGGCAGTCTAGTCCTCGCTCTCTGAGAGGCGGAGCAGAAAGACAGGACGTGGAGGCTGTCTGCCCAGAGCCCTGAAGGCTGGGTCCCGCAGACTGGCTGACGGAGGGCCGGAGGCCCTGTGCGCACAGGCTGCTGGATTCGTCTGCTGGCCTGCAGTGCCTCCTCTTATCTCCTAGCCCCCTCCCCGCCCCTACTGAAAACTGAAGTTTCTCTTTTGTAATATGATAAACACGCCACACTTCATTTAATTCTGAGAATTGTGTCTTGCTTACTGCAATACCATTTTCCTTAAAGGCTGTCTTGACACAGTTTTGAGGCCCTTCTGGAGGCCGGTCCATCCCCTTCTTGAGCAGCTGATTACATCCACTCTCCAATCACTCCCTTATCAGGCTCTCAGAATCCAAGGCCAACCTGCGCCATCCTAATTGCCCCGGGGCTAGGTACCCAGCAACTAGGGACAGCTCCTGTTACGAATGAATTGCGTCCCCTAAAGATATGTGTTGTAAATCCTAATCCCTACACCTGTGGTTATAATCCCATTTGGGAATGGCTTGTCTTTGTTAGGTTAATGAGGCAGCATTAGGGTGGAGGTGTCTTAAGTCAATCTCTCCTGAGACATAACAAGAGCCGACTGAGCAAGCAATGAGGCAAGCAGAGATGGGGAAGATGAATGCCATACCCACTGAGGAGCACCCAGGAGCCAGGAAGTAAAAGCTGAAAGGAAACCAGGACCTTCCCCCAGAGCAGACAGAGAGAGAAAGGGTTCCCCTAGAGCCAGTGGCACCCTGAATGTGGACTTCCAGCCTCTTTAACTGTGAGAAAATGAATTTCTGCTTGTTAAAGCCATCCACTTGTGGTGCTTCTGTTACAGTAGCACTCGGTGACTGAGACATCCTCCACGTGTGGTGTTTCTGTTACAGCAGCACTAGGTGACTAAGGTACCATCCACTTGTGGTATTTCTGCTATAGGAGCACTATATAACTGAGACACCATCCCCCTGCGGTATTTCTGCTATAGGAGCACTACATAACTGAGACACCATCCCCCTGCGGTATTTCTGCTATAGGAGCACTACATAACTGAGACACCATCCCCCTGCGGTATTTCTGCTATAGGAGCACTACATAACTGAGACACCATCCACTTGTGGTGTTTCTGTTAGAGCAGCACTAGGTGACTGAGACACCACCCACTTGTGGTGCTTCTGTTACAGCAGCACTAGATAACTGAGACACCATCCACGTGTGGTATTTCTGTTACAGCAGCACTAGGTGACTGAGACACCATCCACTTGTGGTGTTTCTGTTACAGCAGCACTAGGTGACTGAGACAGCCCTTGTGCCCCCTTGATCCAGCAGAATTATTCAAGATGCCCACCCCCAGGAAGCACACAGAATCTAGCTAACCCATACATAAGCCCACGATTCTGGCTTATTGTTGCCTTGTCCCTGAGGGCAGCCCCGTGTGGCCCTGCGTCATGGCGTGCTGGGATTCTCTGTCTCTGCAAACTATGAGTGTATTACACCTGGTTACTTTTCACGGCCCCCTTGTCTCCTGTTTCCCATGTCACACCTGACTTTCCATCCTACTAATCTAAGCACTTACTGAAGCTATAGGGATGAAACTGAAATTCAACCAACTTCCAGATATTGTCTATGCAACACAGAAGGACTTAAAAACTAAGCAGACGTGTAAGCATACAGCGTAAAAAGCGTGTTGTTGTTGTTAGGAGCCCTTGAGTCAGCCCACACTCATGGCGACCCCAGGCACAATGGAACCAAATGCTGCCCGGTCCAGCGCCATCCCCAGGATCACTTGCAGATCGGACCGTTGTGATCCATAAGGTTTCCACTGGCTGATTTTTAGAAGTAGATCACCAGGCCTTTCTTCCTAGTCTTAGTCTGCAAGCTCCACCGAAACCTGTTCAGCATCATAGCAACACACAAGTCTCCGCTGACAGATGGGTGATGGCTGTGCATGAGGTGCATTGGCTGGGAATCAAACCTGGGTCTCCTGTGTGAAAGGTGAGAATTCTATCACGGGACCACCAACGCCTCATGCTAAGAGGCATACAGGTCATTAAAGTACTTAATATAAATCTGTGCAACGCGCCCTAAATCTGCTGATGGGCTGGTCCTAGGAAGTGGTATGTGCTCTGGAGACCTAGTCTAAGGGGGAAGTCGGGCACCTTCTGGCGCTCCTCCGCCGCCTGCATCTTGTCTATGTTCTTCAAGGTGAAATCCTTCACTTCCCTTTTGATCTTCAGTTTTGTCAGTCTGGCTGGTGGCTTTCTCAGAGGCTTCTCCGTCGTGGTCACCTGGAGGAAGACACTTATTCACATGGAGAAGCAAACACACTCATTGGTGGAGGAGACAGGGAAGAAGGGCAGAGGAAACAGTTTAAAATGTAAATCTTCAACGTCTCAACTTCCAATGGCAGATCAAAAAAATAATAATAATAACACCATGAGAGCTGGAAACGACCGAATTAATTCCTAGAGATAAAATCTGTTAGATGCCTAGAAACAAACAGGCTAACACAGAAAACAGGCCAAGAACGTAAAGATGTTCTGGGACCGGATGAAGAGGCCTCGTAAGAAGAGAACAATTTTGAGGATGAACACAAGACGGGAAGAGACAGTAAATGAGCAATGGATTTGTAGTTCAAGGTCATCATTTCACGTGCTGACTTTATAAACCCGTTGCTGTCAAGCCAGTTCCGACTCACAGCACAAACTAGGGCAGAGTAGAACTGCCCCACAGGGTTTCCAAGGAGCAGCTGGTGGATTTGAACTGCTGTCCTTTTGGTTAGCAGCCTAGCTCCTAAGCACATAAACTACAAATTAGTTTCATCTGGGATCAAGATGCATTTCTATAACTTTTGGTCTCACGGAGGGTGGAGATAATTCATGGTTACTGAGTAGCAACTCTGTGCTGCCATTGCTGTTGCTACTTTACAAATTTTTCAGGACAAGTTAAAAAAAAAAATTCCTTTCATATGATTGACTTACCTTTTAAATAGCCCAAAGCAGCAATAGTGACCTTCTGGTTAAAATGTCTAGTTAAAAAAATCTAAAATTGTTGTGAAGGGTTTATGAAGAAAGTTTCAATTTATGTTTTTCTTTTAAAAAATTGTTTTATAATATACATTTGTTATGAAAATTAAAATGATACATAAACAAATAATCTCCTAATCTTCTATTTAACCACCTGGTCCCCAATCTCACTCCTCACCCTGAATCTTTGTTAAGAGTTTGGTGTGTGTCTTTCCAGATATTCTCTCTCTCTGTATATATATCTATGCATTACAAATACATCCGTATTGTTAAACAAAGCGTAAATGTGATTATACCATACACACTGCTCTGCCATTTGCTCTCCTTGCTTAATTTAATATGGACATCTTTTAGGTCAGGATATATAGATTTATTACAACTGGGGGAAAGTTTTAATGAACTTTAAGTTTTCATTATTAAACAAACTGAATATTGTTCCAGATAATTTCTCTAAAGACATTTTTTTTTGGACAAAAGAGCTATTGCTACTCATTCTAATTTTTAAAACACTGTCTCTTCAGATGACAGTGCTGTAGGTACTGAGAAAATAAATCAAACAGACAAAGAGGCCGTGGAGCATGGTAGAAAAAGGCACCAGGTCTGGGTTTAAGACAGACCTTGGTTTGGATTCTGGCTCAGCCACGGTGTGTCTTTGCATGAGTCCTTCAACTCTGTAAGCATTGGTTTTCTCATTTGTAAAATAGGTTTAATAATACTTATTTCATAGAATTGTTTAAAAAAAAAGAGAGAGAGAAAAGAGAGAGGTATATAGTAGCCACTCAATAAAGGGTACTTACTTTTCAGTCAATGAAAAACCAAAACGGAAAACAGTTGTGGGCAATTCTGTCTCATGGTGACCCCGTGTGTCAGAGTAGAACTGCGCTCCACAGGGTTTTCAATGGCCAATTTTTTGGAAGTAGATTGCCAGGCCTTTCTTCTGAGGCACCTCTGGGCGGGCTCAAACTGCCAAATCTTTCGCAGTCAAGCGCATTAACTGTTTGCCCCACTCAGGTACGCTTAAGCAATGACTTTTTTCAATGACGGCACAAACATCCTCAATAGGATGCAATATTGGCCACAAAGGGGAAGAATGAGAGTCGAAAAGCATGAGACTGGGGGGCAGGAGCGCCCTGAGGCAAGTCTTCTCTTTGCATCTGTTCCCTCAGCTGTCAACAGTGAGGGCACTGAGGATGGATAAGGTCCTTTCCATCTTTCACACCTGGGATCACTGACGTTCTGGCTTAGTTGCAGCCGTTAGACAGTTTTACGTGGGGAGAAGTTTTTCCCTACAGGAAAACCTTGGGGTGTTCATCAAAGCCAGGCTTTGTGTTTATTTGTTTCTTTTTGTCCATTTTTGCATTTTTTTTTTAATGACACTTGGCATGTAGGCTGCCGGCTGGCAAAAGCCACGGGCTGAAAAGACGGGCATACTTGCTGCGTGGTGGCTGGACCAGAGATACCGTGAAATTAGCATGAAAACAGCGTTTTAGAGGATGTTCTCACCCAGAGGGCTAACAGAAAATTAAATAGTGTTCCCAGATCCAATAAGAAAGCCCAGCTGGGCTCTACACGGGAGTCTGATCCTTGACTAAAATGACGAGGTCGGTAGTTTGCAGACAACTCCGTGTTTCTGGTTTGGGTTGGGCTCTTCCTCTGGCTTCACCCCAAAGGGATGCCTGTGAAACACTGCGCTTCCTTCCCTTCCAGAAGCTAACCCTCCCTGTGTAGCCCTTTTCCCCTCCTGAGGTGGACGTTTTAAGTAAAAGATTTGTGTAAAAATATCTGTATTTTTCACACTGAGTTTTACGTAGTCAAGATTTATCAACTGTAACCAGTTGCCTTCAGGATGATCTTAATTCATAGCGATCCCGTGTGCGTCAGAGTAAAACTGTGCTCCATGCGGGTTTCAATGGCTGGTTTTCGGAAGTAGATCACCCCAGGCCTGTCTTCGGAGGCACCTCTGGGTGGACTTAAACTGCCAACCTTTCGGCTAACAGCCCAGCACTTCACTGGTTTGCACCACGCAGGGACTCCTTTATCAACTGTCTTGTTGCCATCAAGTCGATCCTGACTCACAGCGACCCTATAAGACAGAGTAGAACTATCCCATAGGGTCTCCAAGGCTGTGCTCTTTACAGAAGCAGACGGCCACGTCTCTCTCCTGTGGAACAGCTGGT